CGCCTCCTGACAGGCCGCGGCCTGGGCTGGAGACTCTGCCTTGGAGAATTCATTCCCGTTTCAGAAGCAAGCTGGTTCCGTATTCATCTTTAACGCTTTCTTTATATTCCGTTTTAAACTGGTATCTCAATTATATTCCCTAGGGTGATACAACTGTGAAGAGAGAGATATGAAGCAGTCAGTCCGTTTTGTTAGGATTGAATCGAGCAGATATTGTTTTGTTCCACAAATGTCTTAGATTTAGTAATTTAGATATGTTAAAGATGATAATTACGGTTGAGCACAGTGCTTCACACCTACAGTCCCAGCACTTTGAGAGACCCAGGTTGGAGGATTGCTTGAGTCCAGGAGTTCAAGGCCAGCCTGGACAGCATAGCGAGACCTCATCTCTGCAAAAATAAAAATTTTAAAAATTGCTGGGCATGGTGGCTCATTCCTATATAACCCCAGCACTTTTGGAGGCTGAGATGAGAGAATTGCCTAAGCCCAGGGATTCCAGACCACCCTGGGCAACTTGGCAAGGCCTCATCTCTACAGTAAATCAAAAAATTAGCTGGGTGTGGTGGCACATGACTGTGGCTCTAGCTACTTGGAAGGATGAGGCAGAAGGATCGCCTGAGCCCAGCAGGTCACGGCTGTGGTGACCGTGAGCGTGCCACTGCACTCCAGCCAGAGTGATTCCCTGATTCCAAAAAATTTTTTTGATGATGATGATTACAGTTTCTAGGTAACACTGATCAGGATTTTATATTCAGGCATAGTCTTAAGCACTTGATTTGCTATTCATTTTATCTTCATAAAACTTTGAGGTAGAAATATTTATATTTCTGTTTTATAGATGGAAAACCTGAGAGCACCAGAAAGTTAAATAAGAAAACATAGCCAGGCGTGGTGGTGCACATCTGTAGTTCCAGCTACTCGGAAGGCTGAGGCAGAAGGATCGCTGGAGCCCAGAAGGTCAACGCTGGGGTGGCTGTGAGCGTGTGCCACTGCACTCCAGCCAGGGCGAAAGAGTGAGACTCCAACTCAGAAAAAAAAAAGAAAGAAAGAAAACAAAGGTCACACAACTGACCTTTGTGATTTCGCTTTTCTTAACACTGTTATATGGTAGTATACAATGTTTTGTGTTCAGAATTTTCTTTCTCTCATTTGATTATTTGTGAGTGATATCTAATCCAGTTTTTTTTTTAAGTGTACAGTGTCATAAAAGAACGTGAGATGATGTTTAAGTTAGCTTCATTTAAAATGGAAAGATATGTTCCTTAAGCATCTATAGCAGCTGTTCTCAAAGTACAGAAACCTCTAGAGGAGGAAGGCCTAGCAATCCTTCAGAGTTTTTCAAGGTTAAAATTATTTTTATAATAATACTAAAGTGTCATTTGCCTTTTCACTGACATTCTTTCATGAAAATATAGATAACTCCTGGACTTATAATAGGGTCATGTCCAAATAAACCCATTGTAAATTTAAAATATCATAAATTGAATATACATTTAATACACCTAACCTAGTTTAGCATAGACTACTTTAAATGTGCTCAAAACATTTACATTAGCCTGTAGTTGGGCAAAGTCATCTACCACAAAGCCTATTTTTTTCTTATTTTTTTGAGCTGGGGTCTCACTCTGTTGCCCAGGCTGGAGTGCAGTGGAACCATCACAGCTCCAGCCTCAAACTAATAGGCACAGGCGATTCTGCCACCTCAGCCTCCTGAGTAGGTGGGGCTACAGGCCCATGCCATTTTGCCCAGCCAATTTTTTTATTTTTTAGATACGAGGTCTCACTGTGTTGTCTAGGCTGGTCTTGAATTCCTGGGCTCAACCAGTCCTCTCGCCTTGGCCACCCAAAGTACTGGGGTTATAGGCTTGAGACAACCTGCCCAGCTTCACAAAGCCTATTTTATAATAAAGTGGTAAATATTGTATCTTGTGATTTATTGTAAAAAAGAAAAACAGTGGTTGTATAGATATTGAAGTACAGTTTCCACTGAATGTGAACCGCTTTTGTACTTTATAAAGTAAAAAAATTTTAAGAGTTGGACCATCATAAGTCAGGAAACTACACAGTAGTTTTCCAAAGACTTCATTACATTAAATTGGATGCAGAAGCATATATGGTCGGCCCTTGGTATCCATGGGTTTCACATCAGTAGATTCAACCAACTTTGGATGTCAAATATAAAAAAGGCCAGGCGTGGTAGCTCATGCCTATAATTCCAGCACTTTGGGAAGCAGAGGTGAGAGGGTTACCTGAGCCCAGGGGTTCGAAGCCAGCTCAGGCAACTTGTCAAAACTTAGCCAGATTTGGTGGCACGCTCCTATAGTCCCAGCTACTTGAAACACTGAGACAGAAGTATTGCCTGAGCGCCCAGCAGGTTGAGGCTATCGTTGCTGTGATCATACCACTGCATGCTAGTCTGGATGACATAGACTCTGACTCCAAAAAAAAGTTGATAATAACTTAATGTTTTATGTGGCCCTTTTTGGGGGTGTGGATGGAATCCAATACAAGAGAGGTTGACTAATTAGCATTATTTAACAAACATGTAGCAACTTCTATGTGTCAGGCACTGTTCAAAGTGCTCTGTAAATATTAACGTTTAATCCTTGTAACTGCCCCATGAGTTTAGTACTATATCTCCATTTTACAGTTGATTACACAGAAGCATGGAGAGATTCAGTTACTTGGCCATGGTCCCAGAGCTAGTTAGTGTACAGACCACTTTTCTGCATAATTAACTTCAGTCTCTTGAAATATTTCCTCACTCTTAAATATAGTGAATTAAGGCCAGGCATGGTAGCTTATGTCTGTAACCCTAGGATTATAGGGAGGAATCCTGGGAGGCCGAGGTGAGAGGATTGCTTGAGCCCAAGAATTTGAGACCAACCTGGGCAACATAGTGAGAGCTCGTCTCTATAAAAATTTTTTTAAAAATTTCGCCTGGCATGGTACCATGTGCCTGTGGTCCCAGCTACTCAGGAGGCTGAGGTGAGAGGATAACTTGAGCCCAGGAGTTGAGCTGCTGTGAGCTGTAACGTGCCACTGCTCTCCAGCACTCCTGGAAAACAAAGTGAGACTCTGACTTGAAAAAAAAAGATTACAAGATTGTAAATTAACTCTATTTACATAGTAATACCTTTTGTGGTTGAGTCAGACCCTGAGTGAACTAAGGTCTAAATTTCTGAATCTGTAAAGCTATTTATGAATATCCCACCAAAACATTAACACTTGGGTTAAAAGATATAAGCATGATATAAGGTGATTTTTTGTTGTTGTTTTTGAGTCAGTCTCACTCTCTCACCCAGGCTGGAGTGCAGTGGCATGCTGACGACCACCACAGCCTCCACCTGCTAGTCTCAGGCGATCCTTCTGCCTCAGCCTTCCAAGTAACTGGAACCACAGGTATGCGCCACCAGACCCAACTAATTTTTTTATTTATTGTAGAGATGAGGCCTTGCCAAGTTGCCCAGGCTGGTCTCGAACCCGTGTGCTCAGACAGTCTTCTCACCTCAGCCTCCCAAAAGTGCTGGGATTATAGGCGTCAACCACTGGGCCCAGGAAGATGATTTTTTAGATAGTTATACACTAGTATTGGTTTTCCTGCAGTTTTTATTTCTTATTTGCTTTTGTTCAGATGTTTTCTATGTAGTTTATCCAATACCATATGAACTTAGACAGTTAATACTTTATTCTTTATTTACTTAATTTTACAGATGGGGGTGGCAGATACACTTAAAGTCTAGATCCCACAACTATTTGTACCCCCAAAACTATTGAAATAAAGAAAGAAATCTTTATTTATTTATTTTTAATCTGGTTCTCACTCTGTTGCCCAGGCTGGACTGCAGTGGCACCATAACAACTCACTGCAGCTTCGACCTCCTGAGCTCAGCCTCTTGAATAGCTGAAGCTACAGGTGTGTGCCACCACACCCAGCTAATTTTTTATTTTTTTATTTTTTGTAGAGACAAGGTCTCACTATGTCGTCTAGGCTGGTCTAGAACTCCTAGGCTTAACGAACATCCTGTCTTGGCCTCCCAAAGTGTTAGGATTACAGAAGTGAGTCAATTTTCTCAGCCCAGTTAATATTTTCATCAAACCTATTGGTTGGATGGAGAATATATTTTACATCTGTAGCATCATAAAATGTTTATAAATACATCCAAGATTAATTAGAAAAAACGAATTTTTTTTCTTAATTTTTAAAAACCAATTAAAGCAATAGTGAACAAAACACATTCTGTGTGTTTATTTTGGGCAAGGGAATTTTCATAGCAATACTCATTTTCTAATTATATTTCTCACTTCGATATGTCTTTAAATATGTTTACGGCTGGGAGCAGTGGCTCAATGCCTGTAATCCCAACACTTTGGGTGGCGGAGGCGAGAGGATTGCCTGAGTCTAAGGATTTGAGACCAGCCTGGGCAACACAACAAGACCTTGTCTCTACAAAAAAAAATATCAGTGGGATGTGGTGGTACGCACCTGTCGTCCCAGCTACTCGAGGGTACAGTGAGTCATGATTGTGCTTCTACCTTCCTCCACCAGCCTAAGCAAAGGGGTAAGTTCCCAACTCAAAAAAAAAAGTAAATGAATAAGGATGATGAAAAATTTCTGGAGACGAATAGTGTTGATATAACAATGTGAATGTACTTAATGCCACTGAACTGCACACTTAACATGGTTAAAATGGTAAATTTTATGTTATGTGTATTTTGTTGTAACAAAATAGCTAGTGGGTATGTGAGAGAGAGAAGAAATACCATGTAAACATATTTATTTGAGTTGGAGTCTCACTCTGTCGCCTAGACTGGAACGCAATGGCACGCTGCTCATGGCCATCACAGCCTCGACTGGCTGAGCTCATGCGATCCTTCCATCTCAGCCTTCCAAGTAGGTGGAACTACAGATGCTAGCCACCATGCCAAGCTAATTTTTCAATTTATTGTAGAGACAAGGTCTCATCATGTTGCCCTGGTTGGTCTTGAACCTGCGGGCTCAGGAAATCCTCTCACCTCCACCTCTCAAAGTGCTGGGATTGCAGGCGTGAGCCTCCATGCCGGGCCTCATTATTTATTTCTGTTCTGCAAAAAAAAAAAAATCTGTGAACCAATACATTCGGCAAATTTCTAGGTTAAACAGATTTTTTTTTTTACTGGAGAAGTCAGTTTCCAGTACGATAATGACTATTGTGTATAGCTAAAATTTTTCTGAATTTATTACTTCACTGTATACTTTTATAATAAATGTGGGACATAATACAATTTGGGAAATATGCTTGAATACTACCTGAAGACTGAAAATATAAGGAACTGTGTATAACTTAACATTTTAAGACTTTCAGGTATATACTGTATACCTCTATCATGTTAGCTGATAATGAACTCTTTATTTGGGGAGAAGTTTCTACCACAGGAGTGGGCAAATGTATTATTGTGCAAGAAGCATAATATTCTAAAAATTACAAGTTCTAGAGACCTAACTCTGCCATTTTACTAGATGTAGCTTTGGATAAGTTTCATATGTCCTAGGGCTTTGTTCTCCTCTTCTGTAGAACAGGAATTAGTTGTTCCCATCTTATAAGGATGAGTGTGGGTGTGTGTGTATGTAAAGCCTTTCTCCCTGCCCCCTCACCCCTACCCAGCATGCTAAGCTGAAATTCAAAATAGGTGTTTGTGAGTGGCTTGTGTGCAATCAATCTTTGTTAGATTGAGTAAGCTGTTATGTCCCTAAAATCTCATAACTTTCAAAAATCAAAAGATTTGTTTTAAACTTTAATTACAATTGGTTGTAGTCTTGTTCCAGCTGACAGATTGGCTTCACCTGTCTTTTTTCATCGCAATTTTGGATATAGGACAATCTGGGACATACTGTTCTTTGTGAGAGTGGACAAAGATCAGAGAAATGGTGCCAAACACTTAGTACCTCTTAGGGCTTCTGTTCATACATGGCACACATCATGGTGTGCAGAGCAAATTGCATGGTCAAATGTGATGCCAATGGGGTGGAAAAGTACTAGCTTGAGCCATATTAAATTATTATTTATGTAGGTTAAAAACAGTTGAATATTGACAGTTTCATATAGCTTCTGTTGCATGGATACATTGTAATTCATATGGAAATGAGTGGGATTGTATAATCATCTTATGGTGGGGAAAGTGGTTAACTGGAAGTAAACAAAACAATCCATCTAAGCATAGAAACAATAATTTATAACCTTATATCTTTGAAAAAAATGTTTACATACTCAGTGATCTATCACAGAAACAAAGAACAGAGTACCATATGTTCTCACTCATAAGTGGACCTTGAACAATTATCATACTGTAAGAAAGGGATTGGCAGTTGAGGGAAACTGCCAGGGGAGGGAGGGGCACACTTCATCAACAAGGGTACCTGCATAATGAACATTTATATACCTAACCCTGAATTGTACTCCACATCTTTAAAAGAAAAAAAAAGAAAAAGAAAAAATGTACATTACATTCTGAAAAACTCTACATTATGGGACATGAGTGTGTCTGCACATATGTACTCAAACACTTGTGTACACATAAAGTAATAATATATTTATCAGTTTTCAGTTAACTATTTTTTTTAACAAAAAAATCCTTTGCATTCAGAGACATCTCGTAGATTACCTACTGGCAACTTGACCACACTTTTTTTTATGAAATAGAAAACTAATCACCTCATATTAAATAGTATAGCATTGAAACCAATTATTTTATTGTAATGTCATTTGGCTTATAATGGAATTTTGGACATTGAAGAACTTATTTATGACAAAAAAAGTTTTATATCTTACATTTTTCTAACATGTGAAACAGTCACCACCATGCATTGCAGGTTTACTGATACATGTTGTGCAATAGTAATTTGGTGTCTTCTACCTGTTGCTTTTCTGTTCAAGCAGTCAATGAAGTTTCGTTTTCTTCTTCCCATATTAATAATATGTAATGTATCGTCCATTATGCGTACCACTTCTATGTAACACTAGCTGATTTTTTAAAATATGTATCTCAGTATATATTCCATCTCCTTATTTGCTTTTTTGTGCAGTTTGACTGGAAAACTTTAAGGAAACCTACTTTAAAAAAAAATTTTTTTTTTTTATTTTGAAGATGTGGGGGTACCATTCAGGGTTAGATATACAAATGCTCATTATGCAGGTACCCTTGTTGATGAGGTGTGCCTCCTGGCAATTTCCCACTACTGCCAATCCCTTTCTTATAGAATTATGATAATTGTTCAAGGTCTGCTTATGAGTGAGAACATGTGATACTCAGTTCTTTGGATAGCATACATTTTTAAAATTAGGGCTGGCCTAAGTTTGTCCTGTATAATCACCAGCAATCTCTGTGTCCTCTGAGAGGGGACATCCAAGTGGTTTGTTAAATTTACAATATTTCCTCAGAGGGGTCAGGGCAAAGGATTAAATTTGACTTAATTTTTATTTTTATTGTAGGGATATTAAAGCAAGTCAAAGATTACATTAAACAGTGTAGCAAATGTCAGGAAAAACTAGATCGATCCCGTCCAATATCAGATGTTTCTGAAATGTTGGAAGAGTTGGGATTAGACCTTGAATCTGGAGAAGAGAGTAATGAATCAGAAGATGACCTGAGCAACTTTACTTCATCTTCAACTACATCCTCCAAGCCTGCAAAAAAGAAACCAGTATCCAAACATGAACTTGTATTTGTAAGTGGTACTCTCCATTCAGCTTAACATTTGTAACTTGTGTACTAGTATTTGCTTCCTTGGCGATACTCAGACTTTTTTCTCAAACCACTAAGACTGCCTGACTGTTGGCACTGAAGTGGAAGATTTAAACAGATCCATATGTCTGAAGTAGAGCTTATTGAATAAAACAAAATGGATAATATATTATGTTGCTATGTAAACTGAAAGCAGATTAATACTGCCTCTTCGCCAATTGTAAATATTCCTGTTATTTTTCTTAAGAATGAACTTAGTTACCTTTTGGGTTGTTGCTAATTATCCCTCCTTCTCTCTCCTGATTTGTAATGATATATTGGTACAAGTAGACAAAACACATTTTGGAAGCAGTTTCTGAGTCATACAGCGAAGTAAAATTCATCTGATTAGGTCTTTATATTTGCCAGCATCAGTTTCATACAAAATCAAATTTTTGACCAGTGAGAAGAGGCAGAGGCAGCCAGAAGTGAGATACAGATTTTCATTAGCTCATAAAGAATGAATATAGCAGAAAATATATCTCTTTTTTTTTTTGGAGTCAGGGTCTCACTCTATTGCCCAGGCTGGTGAAGGTAAGTCGCACAATCATGGTTCACCGCAGTCTCAACCTCCTGGGTCAGGCGATTCTTTAGCCTCAGGCTCCCAACTAGTTGGGACTACAGGTGTGTGCCACTTCACCTGGCTAATTTTTTTATTTTAATTTTTTTGTAGAGATACGTTCTCTATGTTGTCTAGGCTGGTCTTGAACTCCTGGACTCAAGCAGTCTTCCTGCCTTGACCTCCCAAAGTGCTGGGATTACAGGTGTGAGCCACTGTACCTGGCAAGAAAATATTTATTTATAACATAGGTAACAGCATCACATTATTCTTCATTTGTGGTGAAGGGAAATGCGTGGTGTATCTTGTTATAAAGTCTGTTAAGGGAAAACATACAGATGATATATAACGCTTGATTTCCAACTTATTTTGACAGGTTGACACCAAAGGAGTGGTAAAACGTTCTTCTCCAAAACATTGTCAGGCTGTCTTAAAACAACTAAATGAACAGAGACTTTCCAATCAGTTCTGTGATGTTACTTTGTTAATTGAAGGAGAAGAGTACAAAGCTCATAAATCTGTTTTGTCAGCTAATAGTGAATATTTTCGAGATCTTTTTATTGAGAAAGGAGCTGTTTCCAGTCATGAAGCTGTGGTAGATCTTTCTGGTAAGGATTTTCTATTATTCTTGCTTTTTGTTTATAACTACTTTGTAACAGGGGGACATATGTCTTCCAAATACAGAATTTATGCTAAAGTAGGAGAAGCCCATTTAGAGCAGCAAACTAAGCTGAACTGAAAATGTTCCTTTTAGCAAAATTTTCCTGGTAGAGTTATAGAAGAGGCTGTCATCTTCTGTCATGGCCTCTTAAGTGATTCAGTTTGTAGGAGAAGAATAATTTCTGGAATTTAAACTGTTATAAACAGTTTGAGAGAAATCCACAACTGTATTTGTGTTAAGTGAATATGTTATTTTAAAATTGACTGCTTGGTCAGGCATGGTGGCTCATGCCTCTAATCACAGCACTTTGGTGGGGGGAGGTGGATTACCTAAGCCTAGAAGAAGTTCAAGACCAGCCTGGGCAACTTGGCAAGACTTTGTCTCTACAGTTAATTTAAAAAAAAAAAAAATTAGCCGGGCATGGTGGCATGCACCTGTAATTCCAGCTACTTGGAAGGCTGAGGCAGAAGGATCACGTGAGCCCAGAAGGTCAAGGCTGTGGTAGCTTTGAGCATGTCCCTACATTCCAGCCTGGGTGACAGAGTGAGACTCCAAATCAAAAAAAAATTTTTTTTAAATAAAATTGACTGCTTAAGCCAGGTGTAATGGTGCACATATCTAGTCCCAGCTACTCTGGAGGCTGAGATGGGGAGAATTACTTGAGGTCACGAGTTCCAGGCTGTAGTGTGCTGCCATTTTGCCTGTGAATAGCCACTGCTAAGTCTTTGGTTTTACGTTTTTGTTTGTTTTTTTAACGTTTATCTTTAGAATTCAATAATCAAACTGTCAGTGTAGAAAAGTCCAAATTCTGAGTTAGTTTTTTGCTTGTTTTTATTATTATTGTAAATGAACAATTTTTAAATATTATTTTAATATTCTCTCTTAATACTCTATTTTTTTTATTTTAAAGATGTGGGGCACAATTCAGAGTTAGATACATAAGTGGTCATCGCATAGGTGAAGTTTGGGCCTCCCATTGGTCCTCACTTCACCTGGTTTGGAATTATTAATGTTATGTGCTCCCACCCCCACCCTGGCAGTTACCCGCCACTGCCAAACCTTTTCATGGAGTATTGTGATTAATGTTCAGGGTCTACTTATGAGTGAGAACATGTGGTACTCAGTTCTTTGTTTCTGTGATATATTACCAAGTATGGTGGACTCTGAATCCATCCAGTTGCTGCAAAGTCCATAATTTTGTCCTTCTTTATAGCTGTGTAATATTCCATGGTGTATATGTATCACAGTATGTTTATCTGGTCCTCTTTTAATGGACAGCGTGGTTGGTTCCTTGTTTTTGCTATTGTGAATAGTGCTACAGTCAGTAAACATGCGTGCACAGGTATCTTTTTCATAGAACGATTTGAGTTCCTCCAGGTATATTCCCAGAAGGGGGATTGCTGGGTCATATAGAAGATCAATTTTTATATCTTTTAGAAGTTGCCACACTGTTTTCCGCAGAGGTTGTACTGGGTAAATGAATAATTTTGACTTTTTTTTTTTTTTGGCTTCCCTAGAATTTATATATTGGCTTATGAGTCAGGAAATGAAAATTTAGGAAGAATTAAAATAGGTAACATTATTTATACATTTTCTTATAATACAAACTTACTGTAACTTTAAATTACTGAGACCACTTTGTGAAATGTTTCTCCTTTCTGAAACAAAAAGAGGGGCTTTATCCAAGTATGTAAATATGTATTTAACCACTGATCTTTTTCTGTGTTATACTTTTTGATCTCCCCTCTTTTGGGAAGACAGTTTTTCTTTAGCAGTAATTTTATATAAAGCAGTAGCATTCTCTGTGCACTGAAATATTTATTAAGCATCCACTGTGTTTGAGGAATTAGACAAGGCTCAGGGGATGCATTAGAGAGCAAAAACTTTTTGGAGCTTACAGTTGCATTACATTCTAGATTGGTGCTATTTGTTTTAATCTGGGTTCGATGATTCAGAGGAGAAAATATGTCCTGTACTGGACCTTCTGAGTAATAAAGATCATCACAGATGAAGTCTTTTGATATGTTAGCTTTGGAATTTTTGTCCTATATTTCGTACTTCTGAAGCATAAAAAGAATGCATATGAGTTTTGCTCTTCTAGTTTCTCAGCAGCTTACAGCAAATGAAAAGAAATGCCTGCCCAGAAATAACTGCAGTGCAGCATCCTAATGCTTCATTTAATCTTCATTCCATATGCTTATTTTTATATATTCTGCAAATATGACAATTTTTTGATTTATTGTAGAGATGAGGTCTCGCCAAGTTGCTCAGGCTGGTCTTGAACCCCTGGGCTCAGACAATCCTTTGACCTCAGCCTCCCAAAGTGCTGGGATTATATACGTGAGCCACTGCACCCAGGCTGATGTACATCTATTAATTACCTAGTTAATGTAGTTGATCTCATCAGTATTTTTCTCTACATTGTGTACACTTTACAAAAAATTTTTAGCTGGGCCTTAGGTGAGCGGTATCTCTTCATAATCCTTTTGTTCTTAAATATAAACTCTAAAATCAGCTTATTGACTCAACAAGAAGAAAAAAATTTATTTAGATAGGGATCACAATGAATTAATAAACTTTTAGAGATTTATTTATAAAGGTCTTGCAGATTCTTTGTTAGATTTATTCCAAGGCACTTTATGCATTTTGGTACTATTAGGATTTTCTTCTCCTGAAAATTATATAATTCCCCATGTATTTTTTATTATATACTTATTTTATATACAGCAATATTGCTAAATTTCCTTAGCCATTCAGACACAGGTTCTTTGAAATTTTCTACATAAAACAAATATGGCATCTACTAATAGTAATGGTTTTGTTTCTCCTTTTCGAGTCCTTATATTTTGATCTCTCATTCTTGCTTTACAATGCTGGCTAGGACTTCAAAAAAAAGAATTGAGTAGAAGTGGTGATTGAGGGTTGTGTTTTTGTTTTTGTTTTTGTTTTTACTTTTTAAGAAACTTTCAGTAGCAGCTTTGGAGGGTACAAGTAGCATTTGGTCTGGGCTTTAAGTGTACCCACCCCCCAGAGAGTTCTCTTAATCTTATTTCTAGTTCTAAAGAAGGTACTTGCTCCCCTCCCCCCAAGTATGTTATTTGGTAAACATTTAGCATTAAGGAAATTCCCTCTGGAATGGATATTGGTTTTTTTCTCATCATGTTAATGTGAGAAATGACATTTATTTTCTAACGTTAAGCCAGTTTTTCATTGCAGAGATAAATCCAATTTAGTCATGATGTATCATATTTTGTGTAAATTACTACTTTTGGTTTTCCAGTATTGTTTAGGATGTTTGCATCTATGTTCATGAATAATTTTCCTTTTTCACATTGTTTTTGTCATACTTTTGATATCAGAGTTGTTCTAACCCTGTAAAATGTATGTTCCCTACAGTTTTTACATACACTAAAATTAGAATCGTGTCTTTTTTGTTTTTTTGTTTTTGAGTTGTAGCCTCACTCTGTCGCCCAGGCAGGAGTCCAGTGGCATCCTCACAGCCACTGCAGCCTCGACCTGCTGGACTCAGGCGATCCTTCTGCCTCAGCATTCCAAGTAGCTGGGATTACAGGTGCACTACTGCACTAAGCACTGGCTTATTTTTTGATTTACTGTAGAGATGAAGTCTCGCCTAGTTTCCCAGGCTGGCCTTGGCCTGCTGAAGTGCTGGGATTACAGACTTGAGATACCATACCTGGCCCTATTTATGTCTATAATGTGTGGTAGAATTGTGGCTAAAATTGCCTGGACCTGCAGTAGACTTGGGGGGGAAGTTTTTTTCTTTTTTTGAGTCAGAGTCTTATTCTGTCGCCCAGGCTTGACTGCAGTGGCATGACCATTGTTCACCACAGCCTCAACCTGCTGGGTTCAAGTGATCCTTCTGTCTCAGCCTTCCAAGTAACTGGAACCACAGACGCATGCCACCCGGCTAATTTTTTGAGTTTGATGAGGTCTTGCTGGGCTCAGACAGTCCTCTTGTCTCTGCCTCTCAAAGTGAGGGGAAAGATTTAATCGCCTCTGAGCCCAGCAAGACCTCATCAAACTAAAAAAATGGGTATAGATTGTTCAGGTTTTCACTTTTTTTTTTTGAGTCAATCTTGCTTTGTTGCCCAGGCTGGAGTGCAGTGGCATTCTCACGGCCACTGCAGCCTCTACCTGTTGGACCCAGGCAGTCCTTCCGCCTCAGCCTTCCAGGTAGCTGGAACTACAGACATATGCCACCACACCCAGCTAATTTTTTGATTTATTGTAGAGAAGAGGTCTCACCAACTTGCCCAGGCTGGTTTCGAACCCATGGTCAGGCAGTCGTCTCGCCTCTGCCTCCCAAAGTGTTGGAGTTACAGGCATGAGCCACTGTGCCTGGCTAATTTTTTAATTTATTGTAGAGACGAGGTCTTGCCTAGTTGCCCAGGCTATTCTCAAACCCCCAGACTCAGGAAATCCTCTCGCCTCTACCTGTCAAAGTGAATTTTCAAGTATATTGGCACAAAAATTTTAATATTCTCTTCTAAGTGTTTTTAGTAACTTTAGATGTAAATCTTTTATTCTTGACAATAGTTATTTGGATTTTTTTTCTTTCTGGTTAGAGGTTTACTGACTTTCATTAAAGCACATTAAAATATTTAGATCCCCACAGTTTTAAATGCATATTTATGCACTGTACAAAGGCAATTGTTTCAGTACTCCTCAGGCTCCTGGGAACTTTAAATGATCCAAGCAACTCTTGTGAAAATCATATTTTCAAAATCGTCACCAGGGACATCTAGAGAAGGCACCCCAATTATGGTGTTTACCTAGCAGCAGTGTATGCTTTAGAAGTATCCTTCTTCCACCAGGCTCAGGGTAGTTGTCCCCTCTGTCTAGGACCCCGACATGGGAGACCCAAAGTCCTGCTGAAGGCTGGGCGCAGTGGCTAAAGCTTGTAATCCCAGCACTTTGGGAGGCTGAGGCAAGAGGATTACCTGAGCTCAGGCGTTCGAGACCAGCTACTTCAAAAGAAGGATCACCTGAGCCCAGCAGGTCGATGCTGCGGTGCCCGTGAGCATGGCACTGAAGTCCAGCCTAGGCAACAGAGTGAGACTGACTAAAAAAAAAAAAAAAAAAAAAAAAGCCCTGCTAAAGCAGGAGTAGCCAACTACAGTTTGCAGGCTAAATCTGGTCTGCTGCCTGTTACTGTAAATAAAATTTTGTTGGAACACAATTATACCCATTATTTACATATTGTGTGTCAGACTCCTTTTGAGCTTACAGTGGCAGAATTGAATAGTTGTAACACAAGCCATTTGGCCTACGAAGTATATAATATTTGGTCTCAGGCTTTTTTTCTTTCTGAGTTGGAGTCTCACTCTGTCCCCCAGGCTGGAGTGCAGTGGCAAGCTCATGGCCACTGCAACTCAAAGCAACTACAAAAAAAATGAACAACAAAACATTTATCCTCCTAACAGCATTTTTCCTTTTTTTTTTAAAGTTGACATGTAATAATTAATTGCAGATATTATGGGGTACAGAGTGATATTTGTGTTTGGAATATTCAAAATTCTCTCCTTTAGCTTTCTGAACGTATAAAATAAATTATTGTTAACTTCAGTGCTGTAGGACAGTAGAACTCATTCTTCTTTCTTAGCTGTAGTGTTGTATCTGTTTTGTTTGTGTTTTTTTTTTTTTTAATTGAGTCGGTGTCTCATTCTGTCATCTAGGCTGGAATGCAGTGGCATGCTTATGGCCACCGCAACCTTGACCTGCTGGGCTCAGGAGATTCTTCTACCTTAGCCTTCCAAGTAGCTGGAACTACAGGCATGACCACTACGCCTGGCTAATTTTTCTTGATTTATTGTAGAGACAAGGTTTCGCCAACTTGCCCAGGCTGGTCTTGAATCCTTGAGCTCACTCTCAATACTCTCGTCTCCATATCACAAAGTGCTGGGATTACAGGCATAAGCCACAATTTTGTATCTGTTAACCACCCTCTTCTGTCCTCCCCTTCCTGCTCTTCACCCCTCCTAGCTCCTGATAACCGTATTTCTCTTCTATGAGCTCAGTTTTTCTTTAGCTCCCACGTGTAAGTGAGGACATGGATATTTATTTTCCTGTGCTGACTTATTTTACTTGTCATAATATCCTCCAGCTTCACAATGTTGCCACAGATGACGGGATTTTATTCTTTTCTATGACTGAATAGTATTCCTTTTTGTATATATACCACATTTTCTTTATTCATCTGTTAATAAATATTTAGGTTGATTTCATGTCTTGGCTACTGTGAATAGTGCTGCAATAAACATGAGAATCAGATATCTCTTTGAAATACTAATTGAAAAAAAAAGTACTCAGTAGTGGGATTTTGGATCATATGGTAATTCTGTTTTTAGTTTTTTTAAACTTTAAAATCCAGGAAGAATTTTTAAATTTTTTTTTTTTTGGAGTTGGAGTCTCACTCTGTCACCCAGACTGGAATGCAGTGGCCGCTCCCGGCCGCAGCCTCAACCTGCTGGTGGGCTCTGGTGATCCTTCCGCCTCAGCCTTCCAAGTAGCTGGAACTACAGGCGCGCTACCACGCCTCGCTAATTTTTTTTTTGATTTATTGTAGAGATGAGGTCTCGCCAAGTTGTCCAGGCGGGTCTCGAACCCGCGGGCAATCCACTCACCTCAGCCTCCCAAAGCGCGGGATTACAGACTGAGCCACCAAGCGTGGCTAATTTTTATTATTATTAAGTCACACTCCCACCGGGGCTTACAGAATGTTAGGTTAGGCCTGCTGGGGTGGGTATCTGGTGTATGATCTGGTGCCTCTTGAAAGGTACAAAGAATTACAGAGGAGTTAGATTAGAAAATATAGTTTATTATAGTTTATTAGAAAGTAAATTAGGGAGAGAAAGAGGAGGTTCACCTCCCCAAGGGAGGGGAGAGGACCAAAGCAGCGGCGTGTTTTTAGTTTTTTGAGAAACCTTTATACTGTTTTTCATATAACTGTACTAATTTACTTTCTTACCTATAGTAACCATTTTTTTAGTTGTACACTACAGTAGTGTTAACTACATTCACATTTTCATTAATAGGTATCTACAACTTTTTCATTTTATAAAATTGTCCATTTTTTGCAGGGTGTGTATATGTGTATGTAAAAAGATTAGAGATAAAAAGAAAGTAGCAAAATTATTTGCCTATTTATTTTTGGTAGTAAGTAAGTGGGTTTTTTTACGCTTTTCTTTTTGTTTTATGGTTTTGACAGTAAACATGAGTAGTATCTTAGCAGAAATGACTAAATGTTATTTGGAACCATGTTAATTTTTTCAAGGGAACTTTTTTTTATGATTTTGAACATAGAAATTAAAATCTATAGGTAAAAGACAAAAATACATTATTTTGTTGATTACTTATCTCAAACTTAACTTGGTCTTATAGTGTATAGTAGTATTAATATGGCTTCAGCTTTCCTAGGAATAGCTGAGTTAGCCATGGTGATAATTTTGATATGTGGCCTTTACAGCCTGACTTCTAGCATCTCACAGTTTAGGCTTCACTGTACGCTTGTTCACCATCACCCCTCCCACCATCCCCTCCCACCATCTGCTTATGTTAAAAGGATCGTCTTACATTTTACATACCTTGAGTAAAACTGAAAAACACAGCAAATGGGAATTTTTTTTTTTTTGAGTTGGAGTCTCACTCTGTCGCCCAGACTGGAGTGCAGTGG